TAGACTCTACTGTAGGTTAAAGCCTGTTGTTCACTGAATGACATTTATACGTAATTTCTGATTTTTTTGAATTTGGTAAAAAGGTAGGGGGTCAAAAATGGAAAAGCCGGAGATTTCTTCTGCTTCCTTTTTCAAGTTTTCTAATTTTCACTGCAGAAATATTGAAGGAGTGTGCAGTCACTGAAGCAACAACAGCACCGCAGCCGCTCCGATAAATCACAGTCGCCGTGCAAAACTGGTAATAGCAGTTCGCATGATGGTCGTGCGAAACCAAAACGTCAAAGCAGCACAAATAACAGACTGCCATCTATCACACGTAACGTGAGAAGTGGTCCATCGCCATCGACAGATGTTAACGCCAAAAAATTACCACCTAGCCAAAGGTAAATTTTGTAGCTGATCAAATCTCTGACTGGGAGTATCTTGCAGAAACTGCCAACATCCCTAGTGGCAACAACCTGGGCAAAGTTTTTGTGCGAAATCCGGTATAACAGTAGTTGTTGTTCAAAACTTCAAACCACTGAAAAAGAAGTGGTTCCATCGTCTTGTCAGTGAATATTTGCTGTTGACATTTGTTATCACTCAGGCCATTTTTCAAGTGCTTCTGTCACTCACAGAGAACGAATGCGGAATGGGTTTTTGTTTTTTTTGCCACAGGTGTCGTGGTATACTTATCATTCCCCTGTCTGCTAATACTTATCATTAGCAGCTCAGTTCATGGTGAAATACCAAATTTTATTTCAGGCCATTTTCCACTACAACGAAAAGGGTTATCCCGATGACGACAACACCAAGTCGCAAACCAGTACGGGTCGATGTGGAGAGGTCAAAAATTGACAGAAGCGCGGCTCTTCCAGAACTCGCTGTTGTTGGTGTACCTGCTAAAATTTCTGCACCGAAAGTTACCGACAGGCTGAAGAAAGGAAGCAAAATAGTTCCTAATATTGAGGATTCTGAGAAACACATTGCTAATGAAGAAATAGGTTCTACTCGTACATCTTCAAAAACTTCTTCTGTGGAAAAACTTGATTCGGAATCAGCAATAGGCCGATCACTGGACTATTCTGGCTTACTCTCAAAACAAGAAACATCATCTCCAGACATTGTAATGAGATCGGAATCAGATCTCTCAGGAAATACTCTTGATGAGTTATCCGTGCAACATCCAGAATTTACTTTACTGGAGCAAAAGTTTGAAATGAGGGATACTGGTGGCCAATTTTCGCCCACCAGTGACTTGGAGGTCCCGTCAGGAACAGAGGATGTTCATGTGGATGAAGAGCCTCAACTGCTCGGTCCACTACCAGCTGAAACAGCTTTATCTCAGTTAGTTCCCGAAGTGAGCGTGTATCCCCCATCAGAGAAATCAATGGATGAGGAAGCAGATTCTCTCTCAAATGAAGTGGTCGGAACAAATTCAGCTGAGGGATCCTTCAACAAGCTTCATGAAACAGTGACTGAAATCGAAAAAGCAGAACCTCAGGAGATGGAAGAAATCCCGGCACAAGCATCAACGGAACTGGGTACTTTGAGGATATCAACAGAAGTTCAACAGGTTCCAGAAACGGCAGGGAGTGCAGAGTTACCAAAGGAAGAACTGAAAAATACGAAAATGTCAGAGGAAAATAATGAGGAAATCACTGATCATGACATAGCGGTTGTTACAGGTGAAACAAAAAGGATGAGTGAATTTGAAAATGATATCACCACAGGGGTCGCCCCAAAAAGCAGCGGTCCGGCGGCAACTACACTCTTTGAAGAGTATTTAGGAAAAACACCTCCTCGAAGAGAAAACGTACTGGCAGACGAGGAAGTAGAAAAGCAAATTTCCAGCAGTGCAGCTGTGAATCAAACAAAAAATCTAGAACATCTTGAGCATTTTGGTGAATTCACACAGAGCACAGAATCGAAAGTACCAGACCAAGCTTCTGAGAAGGATGCAGAAAGCGCGCTGAACGCAGAGTCAGCGGTTGAAGACCAGAATGGGCTGTATGGCTGGAATAAGCCTGTGACTGCTATAGGAAATGACGGGGTTAGTGATGAAAATCTTGCAAGTTCAGATATTTTGCTAGCAGAACCCAGCAACTTCGAAGAATCTGGAGGAAGTAATGTTGAGTCAAGTAAAACAAACGCCATAAGTGAGAGTGAAGCTGAAAAACAAGTAGATGCAGCTGAAGATATAGCCCAGTTCGAAACCGAAGAGCCATCCATACAACCAGACATCCTTCGAGATTCTGAAGATAAAGACCAAGGAATGCAGCCTAGGGGAACTGAAACGGAACAAAGTGCGACCACCTCTTTTGAAGCCAGAGTAGAGACTGATCAACAACCTGTGATCGAGCATGGAACAGAAGCAGAGACTAAAACCAATCAACCACCAGTGGCCGAGTATGGAACGGAAGCTCATTTTAAAACCGACCAACCAACAGAGGAGTTCGCACCGACGTCTGTGATTGAAGAATCCTCTTCATTATCAGAGCCAATTTCTTCAACGCTCCTGGAGAAGCTTGGAGCAATGGGGACATCAGAGACAAAGGGGCTGGATGTTGCGCAACTCTCAGCAGAATCTGGTGAAGCTGCGACACATGTGTTGTCGGACAATGGTAATTTGGAGGAAGGGAATAATGCGACTACTGAAAGGCAAGGAAGTCGTTTTGCTTCTTCACTAGCTTCTCCACCAGAACTTGGCGTGCCGTCGAGTTCAGAAGAATTTATTTTTACAAATAAGGGCGAAGAGGCTCTTCTTTCTGGCAATGAACAAATGGCAGAAGCAGAACTGAATAAGTCGGAATCCGGTACAAAATCAACATTTGAAACTACCGACAACGCCAAAAGGGAAGCTTCGATGGAAGACGCCGAAAAGAAAGCTACTGAAGCCCAAATGCCATCAGCTTCGGCAGTGTTTGAAAGTCCGAAAATTCAGCTTACTGCAAAGGCAGTTCAAGAAGCGTCATTGGAAACTGGTAGTGACGCCAAGATTCACGAAACGAATCGGAATGCTGGTGTGGAAGATGGCATGAGAGCAGCAAACGAGAAGGATAGTACAGCTTCGACGGAAGATATACAGAAAGTAGAAGGTTTGTCAGAAAGCAACTGTGCTCCAGCTGAATCAGCAGATCCCGGTGCGGCAAGAAAACATGAAATATTAGAACTCAATATTGCAGACCTTATGAAAACAGAGTCGAACTTACACAACGAAAAATTATCTGATTCTAATGAGCGCATCGAAAGTAATGAATTTTATGATCAGAACGGAAATTTCGAAGCTGCAGAGAATGCGCGCAAAGAAACTGAATATGTGGAGAAATCGAGTGGGCCTAAAGTTGAACCTTCTGTGGAACACGAAATAAACCGAGGAGATGACTCAGAATCAGGATCGGCACTTGCGGCGCCTGATTTGGTTGCGTTCGTGTCACATCCTGAGGAATCTGACACGCAAAAAGATGCAGCATTCAGCAGCGTTCCAGAAATGCTTTCGGAATCTGGCTTTGGACTAAGTGTGCAAGCAGATGTGGGGCGAACATCACAAGACATATCAACGGATCTTTCCTCTGCAGCGGTTATGGAAGTTCATTCTGAGAGCGTCGAAGATAGTGAATCCAAAGATGCGTCACGAAAAGAAACCACTGATGTTTCAGGGCATTTTGGTCAAGTAACATCAGTCGAGCCAGGACAGCGTGGTTCTGAGGGTAAACTGAGGGCTGATGAAGCTGCAGTAGAAGATCAGCAAAAACAACTTAACGAAGTCGAAGGTAACAACAGCATGCAAAACGAAGAGCTGGTGGGAAATATCGAATCTGTATCTTCTGACCGAAAACTTGCGAAAACAATCACTTCTTCAGATCAGCCGCCAGAAAATAATGAACTAAGTACAGCTAGCTATATGACAAATACGGAAATAACAGAGAAATATACCGATGCGGAAATACCAATTAAGTTGGAAAAACTCGTAGTGCCTATGACTTCCGAAAATATTGTCATTGATGGAGTGACAGAAAGTCTTGAAGCCGTAACTACTGGTGTATTAAGTCGAAAACTTGAGGAATCGCATCGGATGGAGGACCAACACAAAAAGCAAGATGCTGAAGCTGTGCTGGAAACGTCACATACTGAAAAACCAAACACGCCAGAAGATGCAGCTTTCAAGGGCATTTCAGAAATGCAGCCAGAATCTGATGCTGGATTGAAGATGCAAACAGAGTTGCCGAGGTCTTCACAAGAGATATCGTCGGAACTCTCTTCTCCCGCAGTTGTGGAAGCTTATCCTGAAGGTATCAGCGACAGTGAATCGAAGGATGCGTCACGAAAAGAAACTCTTGATTCAGAACAGACTGATCAGATAGCACTGGTCGAAACAGGACAGCATAGTTTTGAAGGCCGGAGGAGTGCTAGCGAGGTTGCATCAGAATCTCAGCAAAAACAGCTTAACGAAACCGAAGATGACTATAGTATGCAAAATGTAGAGGTGGCAGGAAATATCGAATCTGCATCTTCGGCTCGAAAGCTTATGGAAATCAACGTTTTTTCTGACCAACCGCTAGAAAATGACGAAAAAAACGCCAAAAGCTTGACAACAAATGCGGAAAACGCAGGAACATTTATAGAAATGCCGATTGAATCGGCGCCTGTAAGTCTCGAAAATATTATCACTGATGGAGTGACAGAAAACTTTGAAGCCATAATTACGGGTGTACTGGATTCGAAACCTGAAGAATTGCTTGGGGCGGAGGAACAACACATAGAACAAAATGCTGAAACTGTACCTGATTTGGTTGTGCTGGGGAAGTTACATCCTCAGGAACCCAACGCGCAAAAAGATGAAGCATTCAGAGGCGTTCCAGCGATGCAACCAGGATCTGATGTTAGGTTAAGTGCGCAACCAGATTTGGAGCGATCTTTACAGAAAGAAGTATCACCGGATCTTTCCTCACCAGTGGTTGTGGGAGCTCACTCTGGGGGGGTCAGCGATAGCGAATCCAAGGATGCGTCGCGAAAAGAAACTGTTGATGTTCCGAAGCTGTATGATCAGATAGCATCAGTTGAGAAAGTACAGCATAGTTCTGATGAGGATCATTTGAGTGCTGATGCAGCTGCATTAGAAGCTCAGCAAAAGCAGCTTAGCGGGGCTGAAGCTGAAAGGATGCAAAATGAAGAGCTGGCAAGAAGTATCGAATCTGCGTCTTCTGGCCTAGAGTTTACGCAAAAAACTATTTCTTCAGACCAAAATAACAAAATAAGTGCTGAGAACTTGATGAAAAACGCGAAAACAGCAGAGGAATACGCTGAAATGGGAATGCCGATGGAGTCGGAAAGACTTACTGCAGCGCCTAAAAGTATTATTGATGGAGTGACTGAAAGCCTTGAAGCCATAATTGCAGGTATAGCGGATCTGAAACCTGAAGATTTTCACGGCATGGAGGAAAATCATACAAAACAAGATGCTGAAGTTCCAGAATACAGTCGAGCAGAAAAGTCACTTTACACGGTAACCATTCCTTTCCTAGATACTGTGAACCCTGTTTCTCACAGAATTTCAGCTGAAAAGGATGATGTGGAACTGAGTGTTCCTGAACATCTAACTGAAGAAGATACACTTGAAGAAACTGGCCAGGGAAAATCAGGATCTGCTCCTCCGGAAGTTTCTTCTGAAAGATTTGCTGATGAACAACTGCTGCCATCCGTTGTTGAAAATTCTCCCGCGCGTATGCGTGATGTTTCCGAAGAAACGGTGATTTCGGGAATTTCCGAATATGGTGAAGTGATTCAAGAAATTTTCTTATGTGATAGCAATGCAACAGCAATTGAAGAAGCCAGTTTCATTCCCGAGTCTAGTGCAGGCACCGCGAAACAACAGGAGCAGACCTCGCCACCAACAAATTTGATCAGTAAGCCAGTCCTGGAGTTTCACAAAAAGAGGGAAGTGTCGGAAGAAGCTGGGAACACAAAGTATTTGGGAATTCATGAAGTAGACAAGGGCGCAGCGGAAGTCGAATCCGAAATAACTCGGACAACAGGTAAAAACGAACTTGGTAATGAACTCAATACGTTTTTGGAGCAGTATATGGGCGAAATTCTACAAAATGTCGTGTACGAAATTGGTAGAGCTTTAAAATCCGAAAGCCCTAAAGAAGAGTGCGCTAAAAACTTTGAATTTTTGGAGACGAAGAAGTTCGGTGAGGATGAATCAATGCCGCTTGCTTACGAAGAATTTGTTTCTCGGGTAAATTCCGTACATGAGGACCACAGTTTTCAGTCTCAGTCAACCGCTTCTCACACCGGAATAAATGACGAAGCGAGAAAGTTTGACAGTGGAGCACACTTAATTCATGAACGGTCCGCGACATCATCTGAAAAACTCGTCGGTGTCGAGTATTTTGTAACTTGTTTACCAAATGGTTCGAGACAAGGGAAGGATTCCGTCTTTCCAGTGAAATCTTCCGCGGAAGTTGAATTTTTAGGGATGCAGGAGGAGGAGCTGAGCCATGGAAAATGCGCGGTGGTGGATTCAGTGGAGTTAACAACAAACGGTAAAAGTGTGGACGAAATTCAGCACCTGCGGATTGTCCATGGCCTTAATGGATGTGGCTTGCCAATTCTGGGGGCTGTGATTGATCGAGAGGCATTAGCAAGGCTTGAGCTCACGAGTTCTGCTGATGACACTGCTACGGCGACTGCTACTAGCACTACTGCTCCACTGGCAATCGATAGCGGTATCCAGTCAGTCAGTGATACAAATGCGAATCCAGAACTAATAGGATGTTTGAGGGCTTTGTCAAGCAACGCTGAGTCCAGTACGGATACACCTGACGAAAATGCCAATGTTTCTCCACTGCAACAATCGGACGATATGAAATCAACAAAGAACGAGACTTGCAGCAATCAGGTTTTTTTTTTTTTTTCAAAGCAAATTTAGTTTCTTTAAAAATTCATGTTACTTACTATAAAGCATGCAAATTCTTGGAATACTTGGATTTATCAACTGGCTCTCCAACTGTGCGGGTGAAAACTTTTCAGTTGCTTAAACTAGTGCTACATCGCCTGGTGGTTATGTTGCTGACGACCTTGACGTTCTTCCGTTTTCTAACCTGGTAACCAACTTAACA